TAATTGAAATAATAACAGAGATAATAACTGAAGTTGCTCCAATATTAAAACAAATATCAGTTTGGTTTAATGACTAAAACAATACTATGGAACGCTAGATCTGTAATAAACAAAAAAATAGATATAGAATATCTAATTCAAACAGAAAACCCGGAGATATTCGCAATTTGCGAAACTTGGCTTACAAATAATGACAAATTTGATATAAAAGATTATGATATCATAAGAAATGATAGAATAGAACAAAGGGGAGGCGGCTTAGCAATTTGTATAAAAAATGATATACAATACAAGAAGATTAATCTAAATGAATTACAAAATAAAAACATCGAAACATTAGCTATAAAGATTAGCTATAAAAGAGGATGGCTACACTTACTTTTAATATACAACCCATGTAACAAAGTAAATCAAAAAGATATGGAACACTACATAAACCAAATAGAAAAACCAAAACTCATAATAGGAGATTTTAATGCCCATCATCCGCTATGGAATTCAAAAACAAACCAAAATATAACAAATATCACTGGAATAAACTTGTTTAATTTAATAAATCAAAATAACATACTGATGTTAACTCCAAAAGGACAAATTACTAGAATAGATCCGAAAACAGGTAAAGGGTCTACAATAGACCTAGTTCTGGGCACCCCAGAACTGAGTAAATTAGAAGTAGAAGCAAAAATATATGGAGGAAGCGATCACCTTCCAATCATAATAAGAGACATTAATCACAATAGAGAAACAATAGTTAAAGAGGAAAAATGGAAATTCAATGAAGAAGGATGGATAAAATTTAAAGAAGAAATACAAAAAATAGATGTGGACAATATAAAATCACTGAACGAAATAACAGAAATAATAAAAAACATAGGGATGAAACATTTCAGATTAAATAATGATAATAGTAAAAATAAACCAACAAAACCATGGTGGAATAAAAATGTAAAGAAGTAAAAAACAAAGAAACAAATCATTCAATAAATGGAGAAAAAATCCTAATGAAAAAAACAGAATAGAATACAAAAAACTTCAAATAATAGCAAGAGATACAATAGAAAAGGAAAAAAGAACAAGTTGGTCAAATTTCTGCCACTCATTAGATTTTAGAACCCCAACCAAAAAAATATGGAATTTTATTAAGAAACTTTCAGGCAGTAATAGAATAAATAATTACCCGCTAATAGATAATGATCAGCCAATACAAGAAACAAAAAAGAAATTAAAACTCTTAAAAGAAGAATTCCAAAGTATAATAAACACAAAAACAAAATGCTTAATAACAAAATCAGAATTTAAAAGTTTAATAGAATTGCCAAGTACGAACGGATTAAAAAAAGGAGATAACATTAAAAGAATTAATTTCTGTAATAAAAAAGACAAAAAATAATAAAGCTTGTGGCCCAGACAGTATCCCTTATGAATTTTATAAAAATATCCCAAATAACCTACTGGAAAAAATTTTAAACATCTATAATCAGTTGTGGATAAAAGGAGAATATCCTATAGAATTCAAGAAATCACTTGTAAATCCGATATTAAAACCGGATAAAGATCCAGCAAATAAAAAATCATATAGATTCATAAGCAGAATCTCATGTATAGGGAAAATGCTGGAAAGCATAATCAACAATAGACTAATATGGTGGCTTGAAAAAAATAACAAACTAAGTCAAGACATAACAGGTTTCAGACCCAATAGCTCAACAATAGATACATTACAAATAATCGATTTTCATATTAAAAAAGCTTATAAAGAGAAAAAATATGCCCTAATAGCATCTCTAGATTTAGAAAAAGCTTTTGACAAAGTAAACCACGATGCAATAATAATAAAAGCAGCTAAACTAGGTATAACGGGTACTCCTCTCAGATGGATATCTAATTTTTTAAATAATAGATCCTACCAAATAATAATAGGAAACCAAAAATCCGAGGAAGGAGGAATAAGTAAAGGACTTCCACAAGGATCTCCATTAAGTCCATTACTATTCAACATAATGATGTCAGATCTAAATCTAACAGTAAAAACCAACAAAATAATATATGCAGATGACATAAATATAATAACAATAAATGAAAATCTAGAAGAAGCAAAAATCAATCTAGAAGTAGGATTAAATAAAATAGTAAAATGGGCTAACGACTGGGAGCTTAAATTAAATTTAACTAAAAGCAAAGTAATGTGCTTTACAAAAAAAAGAATAAGACAAATACCAATAATAAAAATAAATAATGAAGAACTAAAATTCACAAATAAACATACAATCCTAGGACTCGAATTCGACGCACCAAAACTAAAGTGGAAAAACCATATTAATAACTTGAAAATTAGATGTACAAATAGAATAAACATAATGAAAAAATTATCAACAACAACATGGGGAGCAAACAGAGAGACAATGATAAAATTCTATGATATCTACATAAAACCAAAAATAGAATATGGTATAACAATTTATGGAACAGCAAATGACACAGAAATAAAAAAAATTGAAACAGTTCAAAATGGAGCTTTGAGAATAGCCACTGGATGTTTAAAGACCACTCCAATAAATGCACTCTATGCCCTAACAAATAAAATGTCGATCAAAAATAAACTAAAAGAAAAAGAATTCACCCAAATGTTAAAAATACTAGAAAAAAAAGAAAATACACAAATAAAAAAAATGTTAACAGAAAATATAAAAGAATATAACCCTCAAAAGGATAAAAATAACTTAATCCATAGAATAATAGAAACAAACAAAGAATTGCAAGTGAAAATAAAGATAAAAACAATGTCAAACATAACCCCTATTCCACCTTGTTTGATATTACAAAAAATATAGAAACAAAATTCTTAGATGAGCAAACAAAAAATATCCCAGAACAAATAATAAGAGCACAATATATAATGTTAGAAAACACACGATATCGAAATTATAAAAAATTATTCACAGATGGCTCGAAAATAAACAACGATTCCACATCAGCAGCAATATACATACAAGATAACAATATAACAACAATATGGAAACTACCAAACAATACAGAAATAATAGAAGCAGAACTCTTTGCAATAAAACAAGGGCTAAAATACATACAAATAACAAATTATCAAAATCAGTACTATTTACAGATTCTAAATCTGCACTTCAACTAATATCTAACCCGAAACCTAAGAATTCTAAAAGTATGACTTTTGAAATACAAGAATTGATATATACAATGGTAAATCAAAATCAAATAATAATGTTACAGTGGATACCTTCACATAAAAACATAAAGGGAAATGAAATAGTAGATCAAGCAGCTAAAAAAGCACACAAAATAAGATATCCCATAACCATACATGAAGACACAAAAAAACAGATAAAACAGATGAAAAAAAAAAACAGAGAAACTGGAAAACTCAGTTAAATACAATTCTTAACACAAAGAATTATCTATTGCAGAACACAGAACCGCAGCCATGGTTAAGATCCAAAAATAGAAAATTAGATGTCTGCATAACTAGAATAATAACTAAGCACACAAGACTAAATAAACACCTACATAGAATGAAAATAACAAATGACCCTTACTGTAGATGGTGTCATAATCAAGAAGAAGATATAGAACACTTAATCCTACACTGTCCAAGATTCCACTCCAGCAGAACAAAATTGAAAGAAGCCTTAAGAAAAATCAAAGTAATCAACCCTAACATAAACTTATTATTCACAGGTGCAGATCTCTCCCCAACAGAAAAGTTTTATACTCTTAGACACACCAAAATCTTTTTAAGAAAAACCAAACTAACAGAGATCATATAAAGAAAGAATAGAAAAGAAAAAAGATCCAGGGGATATAGACTATGCAAAAGTCTAAAACCCTATAAAAGAAGAAAGAAGAAGAAGAAGCTTGAAATATCCTACTTAATATACGTTTAAATGCCTTTGCAGCTAACAGCTAAGTTAAAGAAGTGGCTTTTTATACGGCCTCCCTTTTATTCTGAATAAACAAAGCCATGTAAGCCAACTCAAGGAAAATTTAGTAACATATAGGGTACCGGTAGCTGGAGAACTGGTGGAAATTTCGGTAATTTTCTCTTCTCTGAAGGAAGATCTGTAATGAGTATTACTGAACATAAGGTTAATAATGAAGTTGGTTGATAGGTTATTCTACCATGGAGTAAATGTTTAGGAGAAAGCACTATTTTTCCCTCATAATTGTTTGTCTTTCAAGTAATTTTTTGGAATAGTTCTGCCAAATGGAATGTAACGATATTGGTATCGCTGGATTCCTCTCACTCTAGTTTCCAGATATATAGAAATTATTGTATGGAACCCCCTCCCCCCCATTAGTGACAATCTTTGCCTCAAAATCAGGGGAGGGCATGAAAGGTGCAAGGAAAATTACAGGGTAAAATATGAATAATATACACAAAGTCAGTCACTTTATTGTCTATTGCAGTGAGCTAGGCCCCCTTCGACTCACCCATGGTGGACTGCTGCCACCCAACCCCTGCCCAGGAACACAATAAATACTCCACATATTCATATCAGGAGAGAGTGTACAACCAACATGCAGGAGTACCTGTTGCCAAGTCTGTCCGACACTCTCCTGCTGTAAATACATGGATTTTTGTTTTCCTTGGTGGGGTTTGTGGGCAGCAGTTCCCCATGGAGGAGTCACAGCTTCATTAGACAATAAAGTGATTGATTCTGTGTATATTATTCATATTTTACCCTGCAATTTCCATAGTACCTTTCATGCCCTCCCTTGCTATTGGTGCCAAGAATGCAGGGGGTTGAGGAAATTCCATGAAATCATTTCTATATATTTTAGATGAGAGAAATCCAGTGATACCTAAATCATCACAATCCGGAACTATTAAAAGAAATTACCATCTCATCCAGATCTTCTTGAAACTTGCAGTTAATGTTGATTGAATGTCTAAAGTATTAACAATGTCTCTGTATTTTAGAATATGTATGTATCTTGTACTGCAATCTCTATATTCTGAAAGTTACATAATTTTTTTTTTGTGTAATTTTAGTATACAGAATGAGTTGTGCCGGTAGCCACTGGGGAGAGTTTCAGGATGGTCAAGGCAGCAGCAATGATGACTGGAGTCTCAGCGGCTCTGACATGGAAGACCTCCTAACCCCAAAGCCACCACCACCAACTCCTCCAACCCTTCACCAGCCATCTCAGGAGGAAACATCATCATTTCAGAAGTGAGGTCTTTCCTTCCCTTCTGTCCACTTTTCATGTCTTTAACCATTTTCTGGATTTCATGGTGACAAATCATTACTGAACTGATACAGTGATTGTTATAATGACAGAAAATAATTCAAATTCTTTGAATTTTCAGACTTCCAGCAGAATTCTGTAGAACAGACCCCTTAGTTTTGCAAACAATCAGATTACTACAGTATCAGAGACAAGTTGCCCAGCTTATAAACAGAGCACAGGTAAGAATGACCAATATGATAACTATTATACTTGATGTGTAATAAAACTTTTGCCATTATTACAAATGGGATGCTATCAGTATATGTATTTCTATGGCTCCTGTTAATTTAAAAGGCAATATTAGGCTTACAACATGCAACAACTCTCTCATTCTCTCTCTCTCTCTCTCTTTATTCTCATTCTCATTCTCATCTCATTCTCATTCTCATTCTCATTCTCATTCTCGTCTCTATATACATACATATATATATATATATATATATATATATATATATATATATATATATATATATATATATATATATTATATTATTTATTTATGGAGATAATGGCAACAGTTTCATGCTTATTATTACTATTTGTTTTAACTGAATAACAGCTTTAGTTGGTTTCTTTGTGACTTGAGTATATGTAATGGAAATTTTTTTTTAGGGCAATTGTACCCAAGATATAAATTAAAAAGTATAGTATTTTGTTTACTGTGCAGAGTATAGGTATGGAGGGGAATAGCTTCCCATCATGCCCGGCACCTCCTGATGAGCCTGTGCTTGACCGGAAAACTGCGAAGCCACACTTCTTATTCTTTATTCCTCCTGAAAAAACGTAGGTTCTTTTTGCTTGTTTACAATGTTGATCATTTAGTGATCTTACTTGCTATTGTGTGATTATCAATATAATGGTGATTATGCTAATAATATTGATTATAGTAATTGATACGAGTCAATAACATGCTGGTGATCTGATGTATAACCCTTTAACCATGGAAGAATGGTGTATGGTTGTTGAACAAATGAACAGTTTATAGTTTCAGGACTAAATAGTTCTGCTCCATACCTTGACTCTCATTGTGTGTTTTTTGTGAATTATTTTTAGAGATATGTCCTACATATAGATTTGAATTATTACAAAGAAAGGAAAAGTAATTGTACTATTTGATGAATTATAAAGTAACTGTTGTAGTTATGATATGGTAGTGTTAAAGCAGATAATTTTGCTGACAAGGAGCCAGGCAAAGCAAACATGTATCTGTAGTATGTAGTGTCCCTGTGGATATCCAACACTGAACATAGGTGTAATTATGTAGTGTATTTGTGTTTCAATATGTGTTGAACATGCACATACACACTATATATATGACTGACTGTCCGCCATTATCTTTCTCTCCCTTACTCCTTTCCATGGTTAAAGGAGTAATATTGATGATGATTATAAAAATATGGTAATTATGATAATGATTATAAAGTTACTAGTAAGTTTATAATAATATAATGGTTCATGCTGACATTATTGAAATTTAACTTCTCTTTTGTCTTTTTGAATTGACTCAACAGCTCATACACAAGTGGGAAGAATGAGCCACAGTTACTTGAGGTGGAGGGCACAACTGCACGACTTATTTTGAGGAAAGCTGTAGCAACAGTATGTGCACACACAGGATACACTGACACATCCGAGAGTGTGCTCAGATTTCTCACCGATGTTCTCCATGAATTTTTGACGAAGCTGACCAATTTGCTACGTGCTAACACAGACTCCCTTCTGTTGACAGACAGATGTCCATTTCATGTAAGTTTCTTTTTTACACAGAGAGGAATAGATTTGAGAGAACATGTTTAGCAAAATGGAAATCTAATTATTGTTGCGTATCAGTTATAGTATCTAATGTGTCATTTAATTTTTTAGGATGTTATGGAACAAAGCCTTCACGATATTGGGATTGGCAGCATGAATGAGTTACACCAAATGTACCGTGAACGTGTTATTCTGTACCATACCAGAGTCAGGCAGGAGAGCTTTCAGTTGTATCATCAATACCTTGCTCTTACACAGAATAAGGAAGGCAGTATTGCAACACCTGGGTAAGTAATTATTGTAAATTTTCTTTAATGTTTCCGTTTTTCTCTGTTTCTGTTTGTCTTTCATTCTCTCTCCTTCTCCTTCATTCTTTCTTTCTTTCATTCTTTCTTTCTTTCTTTCATTATGTGCCTCTTTTCATTCATCTTCTTTCATTATGTGCCTCTTTCATTATCTTTCTCTTCATTTCTCTCATTCTTTCTTCTCTCTCTTCTTATTCTTTCATTCTCTCTCTCATTCTTTTCACTCCCCCCCCTCTCTCTCTCCCCCCCTCCCTCCCTCCCTCTCCTCCCTCCCTCCCTCTCCCTCCCTCCCTCCCTCCCTCCCTCCCTCCCTCCCTCCCTCCCTCCCTCTCTCTCTCTCTCTCTCTCTCTCTCTCTCTCTCTCTCTCTCTCTCTCTCTCTCTCTCTCTCTCTCTCTCTTCTCTTTCCTCTTTCTTTTCATGCTAGAAGCAGCCATGACATGAGTATGCATAATATATTCCCCATTTTGTTATCAGGTCTCGAAGGGAGAGTACAGGGGACTGGTGGGGAGACGACTGTGGGAGTCAACATGGAGGTCCAAGTGGTACCTCTGCACCAGGTCTAGATGATACCTCTGTCCCATCTATTAAAAGTACCTCAAGTCTGGATCCTGAATTATCACTCCATCCATTCTCTGTGTTGAGCCAGTGAGTTATGAGGAGGTTGAACATAATGATGTAATATAGCATAAGTGCAGCTGAAGTCCAGATCAGGATGCTGACAATTGAACAAGGTAGTGATCTGCCAAATATGCATTGTTTTTTCTCATTACTATTATTTCTGATTATGTGAGAAAAAATTTAAGTGTTAGCAAGGAAAATTAATATTAATTTTAGTGGGAATTGTATATGTATCAGGTAATGCAGTAACTGTGCAGTATAATTGGTATGTCTTATTATAAAAGATGTACTTATTATTTTTGTTTAAGCCATTATAAGTTACTTATTCATGTTTTTTTTCAACATTTCTTATTTAAATAATTTTATCATCTTTCTTGCTATCTTTAAGTTGTTCTTTCCGACTTCTTTCATTTGCCAGACCTAATACTAATAGTTCAAACAACAATAGTAGCTGGGACCTGAAACAGAAGGGTGTAATACTGTCAGTGAATATATTATTTTACAGATCCATTAATACTACCAGGAAAAAGACACAAAACTGTTGACAAACTTTTCACCACTAAAATCACAAATATTTCCACTACAGAGTCGGAGGTGATGGAGAAGAAGGGGTCCAGCACTCACCTGCCACCACACAACAATACCAGCTATACCCTCTTACACCCAGATAGATATGATTGCAACATTTTGCCTGTATATAATCAATGCAGATTTCTTGCCTTACAATTTGCACATTATTCTTATAAAAGGTATTATATGTTCAGTTTTTAGTATTAAACCATTTTATTTATAGCTAATTAACTATTTCTTTAGTGAGGTTATATTTTCATTTTGATGCTCATTTTTGACACACCAAACTGTTCAGTTGCCTAAATTACATTATTAAATATGGCTGTTTGCTGAATTATAGTGTTAGCATTTAGTACTTCTAAATGCAATTTTATTTTTTTTTTGTATCACAATTCCATTCCTCTGATTTTACACTATTGGCTGTATACCTAGGATTGTTTCAAGTATGATAAGGTGAAGAAAGTATTTAGCCTGCAAGTTATATTGCATCAAAATCTGTCATTTTCTCAGGAGTGATAGAAATTTCAGGTTTCATAGTTTGTGTACTATATAACTTCAGATTAAAAGAAAAACAAACTTTGTATGGTTACTTTTTCCAAAATTAACTTTCCCCATGTATAATTATTGCTGCCTGGCCAAATAAATGCTTGTTTTCATTTAAGGGAACATGCGCATATGCTTTGTGTATATATAATTATTGAAATTTTGTAACTTTTCATCCTTTAACTCTCAGAATTATTTATTTCTATACCACATGGGAAAGCATTCTCAAAACCATAGATGGTATTGTAAAAGATAAAATTTACAACCTCAGTCTCATATAATTAGTAAGGTGAGTAGTCAGGTAATAGATTAAGTGAGCTGTGTATATAAATAGTATTAGTAGTAAAACCTCTGGAAGTGAGATTTTTTTTGAAAGCTCACACATGCTCTCTCATCATTCAATGTACAGTATTGTCTTATTTGCTGCAGATTATTTCACACATTTTAATGAATGCAGATTCCTAATACTGACTTTCAGAATGGGTGCTGAATTAGATGGGTAAATTTCTCTGGTATTTGACATTAATCAAATATTTTTTTATATACAAATATTTAGATGGGTCTTCCTATTTTGTTGTTACTTTCATTGAAATATATGGTAATGGAACAAAGACTAGGGAGTAAAATGCTGTGTATCTGTGTGTAGGTTTATGTTATACTTATATTGTAAGTTTGTTTAACTTCACTTTCACCCTAATGCAAAATTCAAAAATGTTAGCCTAAGGCACTGTTTTTTTTATATCTGAGTGGCATACTTTAAACAATTTTCTTAATCCAATAATTGTGGTTTAAAATAACTAGTGGCCAGTAATGCAAGATTGTTGGTACACATTTTCCATGTTTGTGCAGAGCTTATCCAGTATTTCAAGGTACAACATTAGAGTTTTAGCTTGAAGGTGTAGCTTATAACCTTATGTTTGGAAAAAAAAAGAAAGCTTCCCTTCACTACAGGTGACACCAAGCAAATGTCACTACCATCCAAGAAAGACGAGCTTCTTCTGACACGCTATTGGCACAGTGGATGTAATTATGTGGTACTATCTACAGCTATCTACCACAGCCATTGTATGATTATCTGCCACCCATGTTCAAAGGGTTCAGCAACTGGCTGGTTTATGAATGTCCTAAGATTTCTCTGAAAATTCTGGATTTTTCTACAGGGACATACAGAATTCAACATTCTGCAAACAGAATATTTCATAAAAAATCATAATTGTTTTGTATTATGGGGTTTAATCATTTGACTCCTAGTGGTCAGTATGATCAACTGTTTGTAACAATAAATTCCAGTAATATGTACTGAAGTAAATTGAT